TCAACTGATGTTTCACGTCATCCGTAAACGAGATTTTTTAAACTCTCTTTTGATCGGCCCAGATGCTGTTTCAGGGTTTATATTTTGAATGTAGGTTGAGAAAAATCACTCACCTCTTCTTCGTCCTCATCCTCATCCTCACTGTCATCTTCACTCTCATCTTCACTCTCATCTTCACTCTCATCTTCGTCTTCACTTTGATTAAAATGTGGTCTAAGGTTTTTATGGTGACGATAGAACCACGTCATTACAGTCATTGTTCTTTCTACGTCACGAAGACTAACGAAACTGCACTCGTCCTGGACACATACATACAAAGAAAAAGACATTAAAAACATTGATCACTAATCCAACGGATAAATCCTTATCCAGTGGATAAATTGATGCTGTTATCCAATATATTTATCCACTCGATAAGATTTATCCGTCGGATAGCGCTATTCATCCTTCGCACAATCGGGCCAGAGGTCTACATCAAGTTTCTCAAACATTTCGACATTTAATGTTCACAAGTATATAAGGGCGATTTCCTTTCCTGCTTGACTGTCAGAAACCTATACCAACCTGTTGTTGTCTCATGTATTTTTGAGCGGCAGCCAGTACGTTAGATATTGCTTTRACAAGGTTTTGATTTCCAGGAATGCTTTTGTCGATTAAAACCTAATATAAGAAAAGAGTAACAATACTGTATTAGATATTTTACAACGGGCCGGGGGGAATTATTATTAATTTTATACCTAGTAACTCCCCCCCCCCCCTCCCCCACCTGTTTACATCTATCACTCTCCGTAAGGGGCTCTTCCGTGAGGATTGCTCCACACGCACTACCACTACAACATTCTCTATTTACGAAACACAACACTCAAATCGCATGTTGGTTTTGTACAGAAGGAGGGAAACCGGTGAACCATACGTGGTTCAGTTAAGATTCGAACCAGCGACCCCAGACATGAACTACAAAGCGGTGCGAGGCGGAGAGCACCGTATCCGCGCATGCCAAGCATTCTACCACAAACGGTCACTTTAACATCCTTGATATTCATACATACATATCTGCTGACGATCTGACGAATGTAAAGTTCTTCAATTTCAGGTTTCAGTTGACCGAAATCCCAGACAAGAGGACGCATGCTAGCTGGGAGAGCATGTACACGATACACCAGATGACGGAGAGGTATCTTTCCTGTAGAAATTGGAAGGAAAATAATAACAGGCTTTCGAATAGAACCAAGAAAAAAACAAAGAAATAGACCTTAATTCTTATGACTATCACAATCCTCTTCAAAATTTCTTTTTATATTCAAATGTTAAAACTCCTTTGAGAATACCAAGACAATAGTGAAAATGAGCATTAAAGGTAAGTGAAAGGGATTCTGGAAGTGTTGGTATAAGAGAATTGAGAATTACAGAATATAAGAGAAAAAGAGAATTGAGAATTACCAAGACAATAGTGAAAATGAGCATAACAAAAAAAAGAAAGAAAGGGGAAAAGTATGGGCATAAAACGTCATTAGCTTGAGGCCTTTATGGCACATGAAGACTTACCCAATTTGTCCTTCGTCTCGTCGGATTTTACGCTGTAGCCCAGACCTGCAGATTCTAGTTTCTTTATCATCTTATCTGTGTGGCTGTAGACATAAAGTGACGATAAATGGCACGATTAAAGACACAGCAAGCTACCTGTAACTAGTCACTCACAACTCCTTTGCGCACGATAAACTTTCAGTCGTTTTACTTGAATCTCTCAAATTTAATTTCCATTAAATCGATACGGCTTTTTTTGGCCATTTCCCCACCTTTTGTGGGTTTCCTATGGTTATTGGCACGATACTTACCGTCTGTATGGGTTGCACGCTGCGATGAAATGGAGTCTACGCAGCCCTACCCCCACAGGTCGTCCATTGATCCTTCGGTCGACCATAACTTCTTTTATCATTCCCAAGGCGTTTGTTGTATTGGCTTCGTCGAAAAATAAAACAGTGTCGATATCTTGTTTCTCATTTTCTGCTGCCATTTTTTCAGCTTGTTCTACTTTCTTTGCGATGTCAGCATACGAAGTCCCTCCATGTACCTGACAAAAAAGCAATAATTATTATAATTAGTAATAATGAAAGGGTTCTGAAAGTGTAAGTATATCATGCTTAAGGTCTATCAAATACCTTACCTTCATAAGTAGCATGTTACGTTGACCTTTTGGACCTGCTTGCAATGCACACATGTAACGAATTAAACGTGTCTTTCCGCAGCCAGTCTCACCCATGATTACCACAGGGATACCGCACCTACAAGACAAACACTACCACTCAGAACATAGGTAAGACAAAGTCAAACTGCAAACACAATATCTACTTCACAGCCCCTTTAGCCTTTCTGGATTTGTAGAAATGCATTGCATTGGCAYCAACAGTCAATTGATATCTTACGCTTCAAGAAACGAGACAAACTAAATAGGCCCTTTGCAGCTCAGTAATCACGTGCTGATTAATTCACTGAGAGTAAATGAATGGCCATCTTGATTCCCATGGGTGAAATATACTGGTGAGCAAACAAACTTTCTACAACCTGTTTCGAGAGATCGTAACAAAACTGCATTTCGTGGCACACTGGTTACACATCGTTTCATTCAGTTCTTTACAAGTAGCTAAAAAGAATCACCAATTTAATATAAAATWWAAAAAATTTGCTAACCAGTACAGACACGTGACCGTTAACTGCAAAGGGCCTATCGAACATTTAAAAAAAATAAGGTTTCCTATCACTTTTCACTGTCAGCACGAAACAAAAAAGATGTCATTTAAAAAATAAGGCGTTGCCTAAAACCACCCCATAATGCAACACGTCCTGCAACTGACAAAGGAAAGGCTAATATGATCACTTGTTGGAACATTACCTGAATCTCATGTGAATGGCAAGGATTTTCTTCATGTTGTCAATCGTTAGTTCATAAGAGGTATCAGGATCGACCTGGTCTTTCACTCCCATGACACAACATAGTTTGTGGATTCTTTCCTCCCTAATGGAAAGATATTAAAAAATAATATTAATACCAGCTGATCTGGAATAGTGACGTAGGAATGACGTCACTATAAACCTGAGGTGTCATGAAGCCAGCGAACATTGACCAGCGGGTGAAAAAACCTGTCCGCCATCGTAATAAAAACAGAAAAGTTTTTTCCCCGTTTGGTGACCTTGAAAGCAATAATTTCAAGAGAAAAAATTGACACTTCTTTTTGCCAATTTTCTAGAAATTATATACTAATAATACGAATTAAATAACTATTATCATTATCAATTATTATGTAATGTTTAATAAACGAGCAGGAGTGTTTTATCGGGTATAAAACACGAGGCGTAGCCGAGTGGTTTTAGACCCGATAAAACACGATCTCCGAGTTAAACGGCTTAAAAAACACATGATGTAAGTTCTCATATTGTACCGAATTCTTTACGAAATGAACCAAGTTTGATAGAGAAAATCCAAGTTAAAGTTTATGCAAATGAAGACGAATCTATATCAGATATAAAACCTCCTTCACGGTCATGATTTCTATTGTGTTTCCTTCATGAATTATTTATGAGTTTTTTAAGAATATATAATAAATGATAATTATCAGTATTGATAAAAATGGGTGTCTAGTATAGGCTCACTTAGTCCAGGCTGAATAGTTTGTCTTGAAGTCCACTTTCTGATGTTCCAGTCCACTTTTCAACTGTTTTGTCATYAAGGCTTTCTCGATGACCGCCTTTGTATCAGGGTCAATCAAATCTCCATTGGGATTGATATGAAATCCAAGGAAGGTCATGGTGATCCCATCTTCATTGAAGAAGATATACGGATGTGGGCTAAACGACAAAAAAAAAAAGCATATACGATGAGACATACGATTGATATCGTGCTACAACATAGGTCGCCATATTTTGATTATATATGGATAAAGTGAGTTTCTGTACCTGCTTTCCCAGCRTCGTCTTAGTTGTAATGGTCTGATATCTTCATCGTCATCTTCCTCAGAGAGCCCTGCTGAACAGACAATGGGATCATCGTCCAGGGAGGGCGTTGCGAAGTCCTAACAATACAACCATAAAATTCAAGGTTAATTATAACATTGCATATTCTGTACCGTATCGTACGCTTTCCACTCATGCAATAACCATTCTTATGGGAAGCCATTTCAATGTTACGGCATATCTCATATCACACAAGCCTGTACGCCCACTGAGATCATCTAAACAAAGCCTACTGTCTGTTCCTCGTACCTTCACTTCAAATTATGGCGACCGTGCTTTCTCAGTTTCTGGTCCTGCACTATGGAACTCACTACCGGACACTATCAGGAAATCTGACAGCCTTCAATTTAAGTCATTGCTGAAAACTCTACTCTTTCAATCAGCCTACTTAATTTAAAACTTTTGAACCTGTTTGCTGGACTGAACTATTTATTATTTTCGTTTTTATCTCCACAGCGCATTGAGGTAGCAGAATGCGCTATACAAGTACTGTTATTATCATCATCATCATCATCATCATCATCATCATCATCATCATTATTATTATTATTATCTTACCGTGTACGTGCTTAAGTGAGTATCGTATTTTCCCCACCCATACGAAAACTATTCCAATAATAACAAAATAAATAAAGATAATGTATTAATTCCTACCCTTGACATGGTCACCATAAAACGAATGACAAAAGATATGAATCCCTTCATTGTTCCCTGCATCCACGAGTCGTCCACGTTCGCTGGGTTACAGTAAATATTTTCTTCACAATCATGAAGCTGAGAGTTGAGGAAGTCCACGAAATGTTTCAATTCCGACCACGAAGGATCTCTTATTCCACAAAACCTGTCAAAGCAGACAATATTATTACAACTATTTTTAAAAAGGTTGTCCGGCGGAGCCAAAGAAGAAAGATCATTCCAAGACGGAAAGGAACTATGGGCATATATCTGAACACGAAGTCTTTAGATTGGATTTGTAGTCGACAAAGAACATTGAATATTTCAACACCAACCTCCATGTTTTAAGTAATAAATAATAAACACAAGTCATTCAAACTATTCTTAGATCTTGGAACAACCGATCGGCCAATCGCCTGTCGCCTGTYGCCTATCAAATACAGCCCTTCGCCTGTCGCCTATATAGATTTGTAGGCGACAAACAACATTGAATATCTCAACACCAACCTCCATGTTTTAAGCAATAAATAATAAACACAAGTCATTCAAACTATTCTTAGATCTTGGAACAACCTATCGGCCAATCGCCTGTCGCCTGTCAAATATAGCCCTTCGCCTGTCGCCTACATCATGCTTACCGAAATAAAGTAAACGATGTCTGGGATACAGCATTCACTTACTTGATGATCAGAGCAAGACAATCAGCTTGTGTGCCCACCAAACTGTTAGGCATAAAGCGAAACCTGTCCAGACTTTGACGAACATCATCGCAAGCCTTAAGATACTGGAAAACTCGCTGTACGGGAATACTATGATATTCCTGATCTTCGAACAAAGGACTTTCTAATGATGTACAGAAAGTAAGTACAAACAGAATCATGATGAGTGACGAACTATAATAACTATACAAACTAGCCATTACAACTTACTTGTAGTTGGGTTGGCTCGTTTGAGAATTTGCAGGGTCTTCCTTGGTGTTTTGCACTTTGTCTTTGGAAGCCGAGAAATGAAATCTGTTGACTTTGATCCCTGAAAGTGCAGTTGTAATAATGAAACAGGAAAAGTAGGCGGAATGAGAATAAGGTGAGATGAAAGGAATGAGATACTATAGCTCAATTATCAAAGTTTTCGAGTAACACATCAAAGGATTTTTATTTTACGACGGTATCATAACGTATCTTAAAGCCTAACCTTATGTCCCTCAATATCATGTTAAGCACCAGTTGCATTGTACACAAGAGCTTTTACGCGAATTTTTTGTCGCGAAAATACAAGTGACAAGTGGGATGCTTCATAGTGTGTCACGAGAAAGCATTGTATACCTATTTTATTCCATACCTTATCTAACCTTATGGCCCTGATATTCTATGAGGCACCAACTGCATTTTCATTGTGTACACAAGAGCTTTTACGCGATTTTTTTTGTACAAGAAAATACAAGTGGCAAGTGGGATGCGTTATGGTGTGTCACGAGAAAGCATTGTATACCTATTTTATTCCATACCTTATCTAACCTTATCTAACCTTATGGCCCTGATATTCTATGAGGCACCAATTGCATTTTCATTGTGTATACACATGAGCTTTTAGGCAAATTTGTTGTACAAAAAAATACAAATGGCAGGTGGGATGCTCCACGATGTGTCACAATAAAGAATCAACGTTTTTGGTTTCTTTCTTTTTTTATGGCAAAGGATAAAACATGTTATACAGCTTACCTTTGGGGTGGTCATCTCAACCACGTACAAGTCTGTCGGTTTTCTTCGCCACAAGCGGCCACTGTTATCACATAGGACTCCAAGTACGAGAAGGTTAAAGAGAAGTGTTTCTAGACCCTCTAGCACCTATAAAGATGATGTTTTTGTATAGATTTTTCAACAAAGACCTTCATCAGAGCTTTTTAAATGCATTATGAATCCCGACTGAAATATTTTCAAATATTTATATACTTGTTTGCCTTATAATCTTGAGAAAGATCGAGTTTTACAGATAAGTTTCAAAAAAGACATATAACAAACTCTCCTCATATGTGATTCCAAGTCCAGGAATTGAACCTGAGGTGAGGCAAGTGTACTACTACTACGACACCCTTGATTGCCATGATATACTTACTGAAGGAGATACAAACTTTCCTCATATGTGATGCCATGTCCAGGAATTGAGCCTGAGATGAGGCAAGTGTACTACTACTACGACACCCTTGATTGCCATGATATACTTACTGAAGGAGATACAAACTTTCCTCATATGTGATGCCATGTCCAGGAATTGAACCTGAGATGAGGCAAGTGTACTACTACTACGACACCCTTGATTGCCATGAKATACTTACTGAAGGAGATACATCAAGGTGTACTATTCTTGATACTGGAAGGTCCCCTCTGACCGGGTACTTCCACAGACCATTAAGAAGAGGGCCAGTATTTGCCACTGTGCCATGCAATGGAACCGTTATATTAAGTGGGAGTTGTTCCATGGTCTTGGTCACCTTAAGATTGTTTTGTAGCTTTGGAATACGCTCAAAAAGCCTGGTGATCATCAGCGACTTTCCAGCTCCTGCYCGTTTTGAGTAAACTAATCGAACCGAAAGACTGTAAATATCAAAATAGAAAAGAATTAGACTATACAGTGTGTGCATCCATGTGACTTGAAATCCCTTGAGATATAAAAAGTACTTATTATCTCGATAGTATTTTCGTCATTATTTTTGTATAGCATATTACTTATAAGCAATTCCCTTCAAACATATTTAATCCAAGAACTGTTCTTAACTTMTTTATGCATTGTAATTTCTCCTCTTCCGTCCCATTATCTTAAATTGAATTACCTATGAATAGGGTGCAGAAAAATTCATTAACCCCCTCGGGTTGTAATTCTGCACTCTACCACGATTCTTTGTCTTTTTTACTAGCATCAATAGCTATGAAAATATGTGGAAAAAATAAACCTTGAACCTTAAATAACAATGAAGCAGCCACTATGTTGGTTTATCTAAYAAGAGAAGCTAATGAGGAATGCTTTGTTATCGTCAGACAAGATGGCGGCTTTGATGTAACATGCACATCGTTGACTTGGTATAGAAAAATGACTGATAGATGTAACATACCCATCACTGTCAAGATTAGCAGCAGGAATCCAAGAAACTCTTTCTTCGTTGAAGTACCCCGTCAAAGACGTTGAGCAAGTGAATTGTTTTGTTAGGTATCCAGATAAAGCATCAGGTGAAGCACAGCTTAGTGCAGCATTTAATCTGTACTCATCCAGCGCTGCGATGATGTGAGAGCGATCTTCATTCTCGGTGCTGCATAGTATTACTATTCTATACCCTGTGGAACAGAGAACGAAGTCGGACGTTAAAACTGAAACCCCGTTCGATTTTATGAAACCATGATAAAAACCCCATGAGCTGATCAGGGAACGATGAACTCACACAGACCCAATGGCAATTTAGAGTGCTGGGTTTCGTAGAGTAAAGAAAACTGGAGAACCCAGAAAAAAACCTGGAAACAAGGAAGACCCGACAAATTCTGCTCGCATATCMTCCTAACTCAAGGAATTTATTCCGAGACCCAAAAGGTAAGAGGCGATTCCAAAACAAGCATTACTTACCCTCTTCTGTTACCATAAACTCGCGCATAAGAATGCTTAACATGTTGACGGCAGTTTGACTAACGTTGTAATCCAGAACATCTGGGTGCACTAAACAAAACATTTGTTYGTTTGTATCTTCAAATGCACGCCACCAAAACAGCTCTATCTGTGGACCAATGAATATTATTCAATCAGTTGATTAATAACAGATTTCTTTGGTTATTTGTTAGACATACTTCCTCAGCYGTCGTTTCATGGGTGCAGACAAGTACTTCCTTGGCAGTGGGAAGAGAGTTGCCACCATATTTCATGTATAGGGTCAACACTGTGGGTAGCACATCTCCTGTAAAAACGACAACATAAACTTATTAACATATGGCCAAGTTATTTCTGTAGTGTCCTTTTCTCTTTTTTAATTCATTCTGTTGATCTCATGGTTACACACATCATCCTCATAGTCATAATCATCCTCCTCCTCCTCATCATCATCATCACCATCCACCATTACCATCACCATCATCAGCACCATCACCATCACCATCACCATCACCACCACCACCACCACCATCATCCACCATTACCATCACCATCATCAGCACCATCACCATCATCAGCACCATCACCATCACCACCACCACCACCACCACCACCATCATCCACCATTACCATCACCATCATCAGCACCATCACCAGCATGCAACATCATCAGCACCACCACAATTAACATAGGGCATAATTTTGTAATTACCTTTGGGCACCAGAATCAGATTTGGTTGTTCACGACTTAAATGTTCAGGAAACYTTCGTCTTTCTAATTTCACACCTATAATTAAAAGAGGTTGTGATACATCTTTAAAGCCCAAACATACGGCGAAATTGTTACACGCAATGATGGGCAAAAGTAGAATYGAATTCTACATTTGCAGCGATGACGCTCAACTAGTTTCGTCGTATGAACATAACCTGCAACGTTGTTGGTAATCGCTTGATAATTCAGTCAATGAAATCTATTTTGGTACAACAATTCAAAAAAATTTAATGAATAATTTTTTTTTTGGCATACATTTGGATGATAGTTTGGCGAGTACAGAACCAAGTTCATCCAAGGTTAGGTAGGGATGTTGCTCAAAGCCTTCTTGTTGCTGCTCYTCTACAGAAGCTTCCAATTCCACTTCCACTTTTACTTGTTTTTCTTCTTCTTCTTCGTCTTCATCTTCGTCTTCGTCTTGCCAAAGATCGGGAAAAAAGTCTACAAAATCTTTATCCTCCTTAGCTCTGTCAAACCATTCCGAGACGAGTTCTTCGTCTTCCCCATTATCCATACACCACTTGATCAGATTATCCTCGATTACGTCATGGTTGTTTATAACGTCATTTGCCTTAAGTGCTGCAATAGCTACTTCTTCGTCAAATTTCATTTTATCAACCTTTAGCAGAAATGGTTGAAACTTTTCTCTCAGATTTGCTGAACGAAAACTCCCCTGTTGTGGAGAAGGAGATGGTAATAGACTATCTGACATGGCGCTTCTTCGTATATCCATCTCAAGACCAAGAGTTTCAAACAAAACTTCGTTTAAATCATGATTCGTAATGTCTGGAAGAACGCTTTCGAGTAAGGTATAGACTTGTAAAGGCATATCCACTGCAGTGGCTCCCTCACGTAACAGACCGAGTTCTCTTCTCATAACAAGGATTTGTTTAGTTGTGTAGTGATTCAACTGCTTGTATCGATACCTTTTCTCATGAACATGGCTTCGCCATTTCTTGAGTCTTTCTTCCATCGTGAGACTAGTTTCTGACAGTTCTCCAGCAACAGATCGTTGTGTAGATAGTCTATTATCCGAGCAACGGACCTCTTTACTCCAATCCAGATATTTAACATCACCAGCTTCACAAAGATCGATGTACACCTGGCCAAGCCTCATCATGCCCTCTAGTACCTATAGAGTCGAATCGAGTTCATTARTTATCTYATTTCTCATTTYATTGAGGCAAGCAAGTTCACAATCAAWCGTACCTCGACAAATCGGTTTATCTCTTCAGTACTTTCGATGCAATCTTTGTTCTGCAGTTGYGCAGTTTTRCCTGCAATCAACATSAGCTTGCTCTGCAAGTCCTTCAGGTCGTTCAGTGTGTAGGTTTTAAGTTCTTCCSTTTCTYCTTCCKKTTGCCGCCTRGGATCTCGTGTTCTTGGGTCTATKGGCACAGTAAGAGTAAGAACGTTTTCCAAGTCTTTTTTCTCACTAGATACAGACAGGTTTCCGTTGGGATCTTGAGTTATTTGCCCTACACGRAATACACCTGAAGAATTGATAGCCTTGGCTTGCATGATGGACGACATCTCAACAGAACCATGAGAACTTTGAACAGCTTTTAACCATTCTAGGTG